CTGCCAAAATGAAAAAAAAAAAAAGAAAGAAAAAGAAAAAAAGAAATACACCTCAAACATCAAAAACAGACACCACCTCAGAATAAAAGGCTGGGAAAAGACTTTCCAATCAAATGGATTTAAGAAGCAAGCTGGTATAGCTATCCTAATATCTAATAAAATAGATTTCCGACTAAAATCAATTGAAAGTGATCGGAAAGGACACTACGTATTTATCACAGGGAAAATCTGACAAGATGAAGTCTCAATTCTGAATATTTATGCCCCAAATACGAGGGCACCGACATTCATAAAAGAAAGATTATTAAAGCTTAAATCACTTTAAATCAAACCCCATACACTAGTAGTGGGAGACTTCAACACGCCACTTTCACCAATAGACGGGTCTGCCAGACAGAAACTTAACAGAGAAATAAGAGAACTAACAGACATTATGACTCAAATAGACTTAATAGATATCTACAGAATATTCCACCCTAACACAAAAGAATATACCTTCTTTTCAGCACCCCATGGAATCTTCTCCAAAACTGACCACATGCTTGGTCACAAAGCAAATATCAACCAGATAGAAAAAAAATTGAAACAACCTCCTGTGTCTTATCAGACCACCATAGCTTAAAGTTAGATTTCAACAACAACAAAAATCATAGAAAGCCTACAATCTCATGGAAACTAAATAATGCCCAACTGAATCACCAATGGGTCAAGGAAAAAATAAAGAAAGAAATTAAAGATTTCCTAGAATTCAATGAAAACGAATGTACAACATACCCAAACTTATGGGACACCATGAAAGCAGTGCTAAGAGGAAAATTCATAGCTCTAAATGCCCACATAAAGAAGTTGGAGAAATCTCACATTAGTGACTTAACAGCATAACTGAAAGCTCTAGAACAAGAAGAAGCAAACTTACTCAGGAGAAACAGATGCCAGGAAATAATCAAATTGAGGGCTGAAATCAATAAAATAGAAACAAAGAGAACAATACAAAGAATCAATGAAACAAAGAGTTGGTTCTTTGAGAAAATCAACAAGATAGATAAGCCCTTATCCAAATTAACCAAAAAGCAGAGAGAGAACATCCAAATTAACAAAATCAGAAATGAAAAGGGGGACATAACAACAAACAATGAGGAAATCCAGAGAATCAACAGGTCATGCTTCAAAAACCTCTATTCCACAAAATTGGAAAATCTGAAAGAAATGGACGATTTTCTGGATAGGTACCCCATACCAAAGTTAAATCAAGACAAGATAAACTATTTAAATAGGCCAATAACCACTAAGGAAATAGAAATGGTCATTAAAAGTCTCCCAACTAAAAAAAAGCCCAGGACCAGATGATTTCAGTGCAGAATTCTACCAGATTTTCAAAGAAGAGCTAATACCAATACTCTTCAAATTGCTCCACACCATAGAAACAGAAGGAACATTACCAAATTCTTTTTATGAGGCTGTAGTTACCCTGATACCCAAACCACACAAAGACACAACAAAGAAAGAGAATTACAGACCAATGTCCCTCATGAACATTGATGCAAAAATACTCAATGAAATACTGGCTAACCAAATCCAGGAACACATCAAAAAATTATCCACCATGACCAAGTAGGCTTCATTCCAGGGATGCAAAGATGGTTCAACATATGAAAATCTGTCAATATAATACACCATATAAACAAACTGAAAGAAAAAAAAGACATGATCATCTCATTGGATGAAAAAGCCTTTAACAAAATCCAACACCACTTCATGATAAAGGTTCTAGAGAGATCAGGAATACAGGGAACATACCTAAACATAATAAAGGCAATTTACAGCAAGCTGACAGCCAACATCAAATTAAATGGAGAGAAACTCAAAACAATTCCACTAAAATCAAGAACAAGACAAGGCTATCCACTCTCCCCATACTTATTCAATATAGTACTTGAAGTTCTAGCTAGAGCAATAAGACAACAAAAGGAGATCAAGAGGATACAAATTGGAAAGGAAGAAGTCAAACTTTCATTATTTGCAGACGATATGATAGTATACATAAGTGACCCCAAAAATTCTACCAGAGAACACCTACAGCTGATAAACTCCTTCAGTAAGGTGGCAGGGTCCAAGATTAACTAAAAAAAAAAAAAATGAGTAGCCCTCCTATATATAAATGATAAAGGGGCTGAGAAAGAAATCAGAGAAACGTCACCCTTTACAATAACCACACATGATTTAAAATACCTTTGGATAACTCTAACTAAGCAAGTGAAAGACCTGTATGATAAGAACTTTAAGTCTCTGAAAAAAGAAATTGAAGAAGATATTAGAAAATGGAAAAAACTCCCATGCTCATGGATAGGTAGAACCAACATAGTAAAAATGGCAATCTTACCAAAAGCAATCTACAGATTCAATGAAATCACCATCAAAATCCCAACACAATTCTTCACACACTTGGAAAGAACAATACTTAACTTTATATGGAAAAACAAAAAACCTAGGATAGCTAAAATAATCCTGTATGATAAATCAACCTCTGGAGGCATCATGATCCCTGACCTCAAGCTCTACTATAGAGATATAGTAATAAAAACAGCTTGGTACTGGCATAAAAACCGACACCTGGACCAATTGAATTGAATTGAAGGCCTGACATTAACCCACACACCTATGAACGTATGATTTTCAACAAAGAAGCCAAAACTGTACCATGGAAAAAAGGAAGCATCTTCAACAAATGGTGCTGGCATAACTGGATGTCAATATGCAGAGGATTGCAAATAGATCCATATCTGTTGCCATGCACAAAATTCAAGTCCAAGTGGATCAAAGACCTCAACATAAATCCAGTTACACTGAACTTAATAGAAGAGAAAGTAGGAAGTAGTCTGGAATGAATTGGCACAGGAGACCACTTCCTAAATATAACACCAGTAGCACAGACACTGAGAGTGACAATTAATAAATAGGACCTCCTGAAACTAAAAAGCTTTTGTAGAGCAAAGATATGGTTAAGAAGACCAAACAACAGCCTACAGAATGGGAAAAGATCTTCACCAACCCCACATCTGACAGAGAGCTGATCTCCAAAATATATAAAGAACTCAAAAAGCTAGACTTCAAAATACTGAATAATCCAATTAAAAAATGGGCTAGAGAGCTTAACAGAGAATTCTCAACAGAAGAATCTCAAAAGGCTGAAAGGCATTTAAGGAATTGCTCAACATCCTTAGTCATCAGGGAAATGCAAATCAAAACAACTCTGAGATACCATCTTACACCTGTCAGAAGGACTAAGATCAAAAACACTGAAGACAGTTTATGTTGGAGAGGATGTGGAGCAAGGGGAACACTCCTCCACTGTTGGTGGGAATGTAAACTTATACAGCCACTCTGGAAATCAGTATGGCAGTTTCTCAGAAAATTGAGAATAAGTTTTCCTCAAAACCCAGTCATACCACTCTTGGGCATATACCCAAGGAATGCTTAATCTTACCACAAGGATACATGGTCAACTATGTTCATATCAGCATTATTGGTAATAGTAAGAACCTGGAAACAACCTAGATGCCCCTCAACTAAAAAATGGATAAATAAAATATGGCACATATACACAATAGAGTACTACTCAGCAGTAAAAAACAATGACAGCATGAAATTTGCAGGCAAATGGATGGAACTAGAAAATATCCTGAGTGAGGTAACCCAGACTCAGAGGGACAAACACAGTATGTACTCACTCATAAGTGGATACTAAATGTAAGGGAAGGGATGGCCAGACTCAACCCCACAACTCCAGAGAGGCTAGCTAACAGGGAAAGACCCTAAGAGGGACACATGAATGACCCTGTGAAGGAGAAGTAGATGAGATCTACATGAATTGACTGGGTGTGGGGGGGTGGCAGAGGGTGAGGCGTGGGGGATGAGACCATAGGGAAATGGGAGGGTCAAGCTGGAACAAGGGCAGAGTGGGAGGGCAGGGAGGAAGAAACCATCATAGATGAGGACATCATGGGAATAGGAAGAGGCAGGGTGCTGGGGAGGCTCTCAGGAATCCACAAGGTTGACCCTGAAAGACCCTGCTTACACCCCACTTATAGCAAGCTTTTACTTAGCCTAAGAAATGCCATTCTGCAAGGCAAGGAAAACAGAAAGTTTATGACTGTGGCTGACCACCTGGCCTTGGGAGAAAAACCGTTGAGTCAAAATAAGACAACTGTGGGTAGCTACCCGACCTTGGGGAATAAACAGTTGGGCTGGGAAAACACCCACAAGGCCAAGTCAGCCACACACATCAAATTTCCGAGAAGTTTAAGAGTTCACCCTGACCTCAATTGAATCCACCAATGGGAACCCTGTAACTATGCCTCTCACTTCTGTAACCGCGCTTCTGCTCCTGGAAACCTATAAAAAGTCCCCCTTACCCTAGGAGGGCGCGCAAGTCTTCCGAGAGACTTTGTCGCCCCAGGTACCTGTGTATCTGAATAAACCCTCTTGCTGTTTGCATCTGATCCGTGGTTTCGGCGTGTTCCTTGGGGTTGGGGTCTCTCCTGAGGGAAGATCTCCTCCGGGGGTCTTTCATTGGAGGTCCCACCGAGATTAGAGACCCCTCCCTGGGACCACCGACCCACCGTCAGGAGGTAAGCCGGCCTCAGTTTATGTCATCCCTGTCCTAAGTGAGTATTGTTTGTCTGTCTGTGCACATCTGGTGATCTGTCTGTAGCGGTGGGGGCTGAAGGAGCTGACGAGCTCGGACTTCGCCCACCGTAACCCTGGAAGACGTTCCACGGGTGTCTGAAGTCCCCTCAGGGGCACGGTTTTTCGGGGCCACTCACGTATCCGAGGGATACGTGGTGTTGGTCGGAGACGAGGAGTCCGGACCCTCACAGCAGTCTCCCTCCGAGTTTTTGCTTTTGGTTTGGAACCGAAGCCGTGCAGCGCGTGTTAGTCTTATTTCTGTTTGTCTGTTGTTCTTCATTTTCTGTTTAACCGTTCTCCTCCTAGAAACAGCCATGGGACAGACTGTCACCACCCCCTTGAGCCTCACGCTCGACCACTGGTCAGACGTGAAGGCACGAGCCAACAACGAGGGAGTTGTAATAAAAAAGAATAAATGGATCACCCTTTGCGAGGCTGAATGGGTCATGATGGATGTGGGATGGCCTCGCGAGGGAACTTTTAACCTCAGTCTTATTTCACAGGTGGAGGGAAAAGTTTTTGCTCCGAGCCCCCATGGCCACCTGGATCAGGTCCCATACATCGCCATATGGAGACTATTGGCAACCGAACCTCCCCCATGGGTTAGGCCATTCCTCTCCCCTCCAGTGCCCCAGGCTTCCTCCCCCACGGCACCGCCGCCCCCCCTCGCCCTTCCTACCTCCTCCCTTTATCCTGTTCTCCCATGAAAGGATCCCCCTAAGACCCCTGTCCTTCCCCTGGACCCCAATTCACCTCTTATTGACCTCCTGACAGAGGATCCACCTCCATACCCAGGGAATCGGAGACTAGAGGGACCGGCGGCCTCAGAACCACTGGTGGCCTCCTCCCCAGAGCGGGAGGATGAGACGCCGGCTTCCTCGCCGGCCTCCTCCCCACTTGCTGATGAGGCTCCAGCTCCCTCCCCAATTGCCAGTCGCCTCCGAGGAAGGTGCGACGAACCAGCCAAGGAATCCAAGGCCTTCCCCCTCCAGGAGGGCCCCAATCACCAGCTCCAATACTGGCCATTTTCGGCCTCTGACCTTTACAACTGGAAGCAGCATAATCCTCCTTTCTCCAAGGACCCTGTTGCCCTGACTAACCTGATTGAGTCCATTTTAGTGACCCACCGGCCTACATGGGACGATTGTCAGCAGCTGTTGCAGACCCTCCTGACAGTGGAGGAGAAGCAGCGAGTCTTCTTGGAGGCTCGGAAGCAGGTTCCTGGAGAAGATGGAAGACCCACCCAATTGCTAATGTCATTGATGCAGCTTTTCCCCTCACCCGCCCGGACTGGGATTTCATGACCCCAGAAGGTAGGGAGCACCTATGTCTCTATTGCCAGTTGCTCTTAGCGGGTCTCCGGGGGGGGCTGCTAGACGCCCTACCAATTTGGCTCAGGTTAGAAATGTGATCCAGGGAAAGGACGAGACACCGGCAGCATTCTTAGAAAGATTCAGGGAGGCCTATAGGATGTACACCCCATATGATCCGGAAGATCCAGGACAGGCGCCGGGCGTCATTTTGTCTTTTATCTATCAGTCAAGTTCAGATATAAGGGCCAAGTTACAGAGACTAGAGGGATTGCAGTCGTGCAGTTTGTCAGATTTATTAAAAGAGGCAGAGAAAGTGTTTAATAAGAGAGAAACTCCCGAAGAGTGGGAAGAGAGGATGTGGCAGAAACAGGAAGAAAGGGACAAGAAACGTCATAGAGAAATAAGTAAAGTCCTGGCCGCTGTAGTGTCTCAGGGACAGGGCAGAGAGAGAGTTAGGACGGGAGATCAAAGAAGGATACCGCTTGATAAAGACCAGTGTGCTTACTGCAAAGAGAGAGGACATTGGGCTCGTGATTGCCCAAGGAAACCTCAAGGGCCTTGGAGAACTAAGTCAAGGGCCACGGATCTCCTCAATTTGGAGGATTAGGGAAGTCAAGGCCAGGAGCCCCCCCCCCCCCCCGAGCCTAGGATAACTCTCAAGATTGGGGGGCAGCCAGTGACCTTCCTAGTGGACACCGGGGCCCAACATTCAGTCCTGACTCACACCGGAGGCTCTCTCAGTGACCACACAGCTTTGGTCCAGGGGGCCACGGGTAGCAGGAGATATCAATGGACCACTGAAAGGAAAGTTCAGCTGGCGTCTGGACAGGTAACCCACTCTTTTTTGCATATACCCGATTGCCCTCACCCATTATTGGGCCGAGACCTGTTGACTAAGCTCAAGGCTCAGATTTATTTTGATGATAAGGGAACGACCATTACGGTACCCAAAGGAACCCCCCTACAAGTCCTAGCCCTAAAATTGGAAGAGGAATATCGTCTGTTTGAATCAGAGCCCTCTAAGGGGCCACCACAAGAGATGCAGGACTGGTTGAGAGAATTCCCCTTGACCTGGGCCGAGACTGGCGGCTTGGGGCTAGCTTACAACCAGCCCCCACTTGTTATTCAGTTAAAAGCCTCTGCCACTCCTGTCTCAATCAAACAGTATCCCATGTCCCGGGAAGCCCACGAGGGCATTAAACCACACATCCGGAGGCTCCTGGACCAGGGGGTACTTGTGCCATGTCGATCCCCCTGAAATACCCCCCTCCTGCCTGTAAAAAAGCCTGGGACAGGGGATTACAGACCGGTTCAAGACTTGAGGGAGGTTAATAAACGAGTTGAAGATATACACCCTACAGTGCCAAACCTTTACAACCTCCTCAGCACTCTCCCACCAACACACTTTTGGTATACAGTATTGGACTTAAAGGATGCCTTCTTCTGTCTGAGACTGCATCCCCAGAGCCAACTGCTGTTTGCTTTTGAATGGAGAGACCCAGAGATGGGGCTTTCAGGACAACTGACCTGGACTCGACTCCCCCAGGGGTTTAAGAACAGCCCGACCCTCTTTGATGAAGCCCTACACTCAGACCTGGCCGAATTCCGGGTAGAACACCCGGCCTTAATCCTGCTTCAATATGTAGATGACCTCCTCCTAGCGGCCAGAACCCAGGCTGAATGTTTAAGAGGCACTCGGGCCCTTTTGGCTAAATTGGGACAGAAGGGCTATCGGGCTTCTGCTAAGAAGGCCCAGATTTGCCAAAGCAAGGTCATTTACCTGGGATACACCCTGGAGGGAGGACAGAGATGGCTCACGGAGGCAAGGAAGGAGGCCATAATCTCCATACCCCCTCCCAGGAACCCCCGCCAGGTGCGGGAGTTCCTGGGTACAGCCGGCTACTGCCGTCTCTGGATCCCGGGTTTTGCTGAAATGGCTGCCCCTCTGTATCCTCTCACCAAGCCCGGGGTCCTGTTCCACTGGGGAGAGGAACAACAGCAGGCCTTTCAATGAATTAAGAGAACTTTACTCGAGTCACCAGCCCTTGGCCTACCAGATCTAACTAAGCCCTTTGAACTGTTCGTGGACGAGAACTCAGGCTTTGCAAAAGGAGTGCTGGTACAGAGACTGGGGCCATGGAAGAGACCTGTAGCCTATCTATCCAAGAAACTAGACCCTGTAGCTGCAGGTTGGCCCCCTTGCCTGCGCATGGTAGCCGCTATTGCTGTCTTGCTCAAGGACGCAGGGAAACTGACTTTGGAACAGCCATTAACTGTGTTATCCTCCCATGCGGTGGAAGCTCTGGTCCGACAGCCCCCAGATAAATGGCTCTCAAATTCCAGGATGACCCACTACCAGGCTCTATTATTAGACACAGACCGAGTGGTGTTCGGACCAGTTGTCTCCCTCAATCCTGCGACCCTGATGCCCTTGCCAGACCCATCCGAGGAGCACAACTGCCTCCAGATTCTGGCAGAGGCCCATGGTACCCGCTCCGACCTCACAGATCAGCCGCTGTCGAACCCAGATTTTATCTGGTTCACGGATGGGAGCAGCTTCCTCCAAGAGGGGGAACGAAGGGCCAGAGCAGCCGTCACCACCGAATCAGAGGTAATCTGGGCCTCGCCACTGCCGCCCGGCACATCGGCCCAAAAGGCAGAGCTGGTTGCACTGACCCAGGCCCTCCGGATGGCAGAAGGTAAGAGACTCACAGTCTATACCGATAGCAGATATGCCTTCGCCACCGCCCATGTTCATGGAGAAATATACAAAAGAAGAGGCCTCCTGACCTCGGAGGGCAAAGAAATTAAAAATAAAAAAGAAATTTTAGACCTCTTAAAGGCATTGTTCCTCCCACACCAGCTCAGCATTATACATTGTCCCGGGCACCAAAAGGATGACTCTGTTATAGCCCGGGGAAATTGGCTAGCTGATCTGACGGCCCAGACAGTCGCCTTACAAACCCCCGGGGGCGACCAGCTGCTGGTCTTGCAGGACCAACAGCCAAGCAGGGATCCCATGCCATACAGCCCGGAGGACCAGGAACTAGCAAAGAAAATGGGGGTGGAATGGAGCCCCGAGCGACAAGCTTATATCATGGATGGCAAATTAGTCATGCCAATATCCCACACCAAATACTTGCTCAAGTTCCTTCATGCGCTAACCCATCTAAGCAAAAATAAGATGAGAGCCCTTCTGGCTGATGAGGCTTCGGACACTATATTACTAAATCAGGAACAGGTCCTTCAACAGGTGACTTCCAGCTGCCCTGCTTGTGCTCAAGTTAATCCAGGAAGAGTCCGTCTGAATGGAGGGAGCCGTCTGAGAGGCCACCGCCCTGGAGTCCATTGGGAAATTGACTTCACTGAGGTAAAACCCGGACTATATGGATACAGATACCTTCTGGTTTTTTTAGACACCTTTTCAGGATGGACAGAGGCCTTCCCTACCAAGAAGGAGACCCCTAACGTGGTAACCAAGAAACTCCTGGATGACATATTTCCCAGGTATGGGATGCCCCAGATATTGGGGTCAGACAATGGGCCCGCTTTCGTCTCCCAGGTAAGTCAGAAGGTGGCCAGGCTATTGGGGATCAATTGGAAACTCCATTGTGCATACCGTCCCCAGAGCTCAGGACAGGTAGAACGCATGAATAGAACCATTAAGGAGACTTTAACCAAATTAACGCTTGCAACTGGCACTAGGGACTGGGTGCTCCTACTCCCACTAGCCCTCTACCGAGCCCGGAATACTCCTGGACCTCATGGCCTAACCCCATTTGAGATTCTATATGGGGCTCCCCCACCAATTGTAAATTTCCTCCACCCTGATATCTCCTCTTTTGCCACTAGCCCAACCTTGGAGGCGCACCTCCAAGCCCTCCAATTGGTACAGAAGACGGTGTGGAAACCCCTGGCTGATGCCTACCGGGAGCAACTGAACCGCCCGGTGGTGCCTTACCCATTCGAGATTGGGGACTCTGTCTGGGTTCGACTCCATCAATCCAAGAACCTAGAGCCGAGATGGAAGGGACTGTACACCGTCTTGTTAACAACTCCCACCGCACTCAAGGTTGACGGGATAGCGACTTGGGTCCACGCGTCACATGTGAAAGCTGCCAAGGAATCCAGCGAAGCAGAGAACACCGAGACGTCTACATGGAAGTTTCAACGCTCTCCAAACCCACTAAAGATAAGACTCACCCGTGGGCCCCCTTAATCCCCTTAGTAGTCCTCCTGACATTAGGAGGAGCGTCACCAGAGAGCCCCCATCTAGTTAAGAAAATTACCTGGCAGGTCATTTCCCAAACTGGGGACGTAGTCTGGTCCACGACCGCTCAACACACTCCTAACACTTGGTGGCCATCCCTTACCCCTGATTTTTGCGAGCTTGCAGCTGGACTTGATACCTGGGATATACCTGAAGCCAAACATACTCTTATTGGCCCAGCCCCTAAACCCACTTTTGGTACCCCCCCCCCCCCACTCGAGGACCCGGATGTGCCACCCCTGTCGCTCGCTGTTTACTGTCCTTGTATGATTTTTATGTTTGCCCCAAAGATGGCAGAAGTCGTGCCCTCGCAGCAAGATGTGGGGGATATGAAGAATTTTTCTGCAAAGCCTGGTCCTGCGAGACTACTGGGGCAGCTTACTGGAAGCCTTCCTCCTCATGGGACCTTATAACTGTTTCCCGGGGCTATATAAAAAAGGGCCAATGCTATGCTACCCAAGAGGAACTACAACCACAGTACGGCAAGTCCTTGCCATTAAACATCTCATTTACTCCAAAAGGCAAGGGCTTCACAGGCTGGCCCGCGGGAAGGACATAGGGCCTTCGCTGGCATTTAGATGGTTGGGATGCAGGGGTTACCTTCAAAATACGATTAAAAATAGAAAATACCCACGCCACACCCATTGGACCCAGTCGGGTCCTCCCCGACCAGAAACCTCCCTCATTGCCTGCTCCAAGACCTGCCCAAGCTAGACCCCTGGTCACCCCCTCTCCTGGCCCTGATAATAGGGCTGGAGAAGCGACCACTTCCCATCCACCCTCACAGGCCCCCGCCACAGAGATTTCCCCCTACCCAGGAACCGGAGATAGGCTGCTCAATCTGGTCAAGGGTGCTTTCCTAGCTTTAAACTTTACCGACCCAGATAAGACCCAGGAATGCTGGCTATGCCTAATCTCCATTCCACCTTACTATGAAGGGGTAGCAGTAACTGGCAACTATACTAACCAGACTTCTCCTTCCGCGAGCTGTATCTCCGCCCCCCAGCACAAGCTAACTCTCTCCGAGGTCTCCGGACAAGGGCTCTGCTTGGGGGTCATTCCCTCCTCCCATCAGAGTCTTTGCAAATCCACCCAGACCCTTCCATCGGGAACTTATCTTGCAGCCCCTAACGGGACATATTGGGCATGTAACACGGGACTCACTCCCTGCGTTTCTGCCACGGTGCTGAACCAGACCTCTGATTATTGCGTGCTGATAGAATTATGGCCTAAGGTTACTTATCATGAACCTGAATATATTTATAGTCACTTTGAGATGAGGAACACCCGATTTAGAAGAGAGCCTGTTTCCCTAACTCTAGCCCTGTTGTTGGGAGGAATCACCATGGGGGGAATCGCTGCGGGGTTAGGTACTGGGACTGCAGCCCTCATGGAGACCAGTCAATTTAGACAACTTCAAGCAGCCATGCATACTGATATCCAGGCCCTAGAGGAATCTATAAGTGCCCTAGAAAAATCCCTTATATCTCTATCTGAGGTTGTTCTACAGAACAGGAGAGGGTTAGACATCCTCTTCCTACAAGAAGGTGGCCCTTAAAGAAGAATGTTGCTTCTATGCAGATCATACTGGAGTTGTCAGGGATAACATGGCTAAATTGAGAGAGAGATTGAAACAGAGACAACAACTATTTGAGTCGCAACAGGGATGGTTTGAAGGATGGTTCCAAAGGTCACCCTGGTTCACCACCCTTGTCTCCACCATTATGGGCCCCCTAATCATCCTCCTGCTCATTTTAATATTTGGACCATGCATCTTCAATAGATTGATCCAATTCATCAAAGACAGGGTTTCTGTTGTCCAGACTTTGGTCCTGACCCAACAATATCAGAGGCTAAGACAGACAGAGATGGAGATGACCCCCTATTCTCCATCCTAAAATGAAAGATTCCATTTTGGGCCATAAGAAAATGGGGGAATGAAAGACCCCGCTTACACCCCCACTTATAGCAAGCTTTTACTTAGCCTAAGAAATGCTATTCTGCAAGGCAAGGAAAACAGAAAGTTTATGACTGTGGCTGGCCACCTGGCCTTGGGAGAAAAAACGTTGAGTCAAAATAAGACAACTGTGGGTAGCTACCCGACCTTGGGGAATAAACAGTTGGGCTGGGAAAACACCCACAAGGCCAAGTCAGCCACACACATCAAATTTCCGAGAAGTTTAAGAGTTCACCCTGACCTCAATTGAATCCACCAATGGGAACCCTGTAACTATGCCTCTCACTTCTGTAACCGCGCTTCTGCTCCTGGAAACCTATAAAAAGTCCCCCTTACCCTAGGAGGGCGCGCAAGTCTTCCGAGAGACTTTGTCGCCCCAGGTACCTGTGTATCTGAATAAACCCTCTTGCTGTTTGCATCTGATCCGTGGTTTCGGCGTGTTCCTTGGGGTTGGGGTCTCTCCTGAGGGAAGATCTCCTCCGGGGGTCTTTCAACCCCACCTTGGTGTGCTGGCAGTGGTTCAGAGGGTGCCTGGACCAGTCTACTCTGGTGACCAGCCTAGCAAATAACCTAGCTGTCGTCATAGAGCCTTTGTCCAGAGACTGGTGGAGGCAGATACAGAGATCCACCGCCAGGCACCAGGCTGAGCTCCGGGAATCCAATTGATGAGAGAGAGGAGAGATACTGCAGGCGAGGAACATTGAGATCATGATGGGAGAACATGCAGAGATGACCGGCCACACTAGTGGAAACCCATGAACTGTGGACTGGTGGCTGTGGAGCCCCCATGGGACTGGACTAGGCCCTCTGGATATGAAAGATAGTTGTTTGGCTCAAACTGTTTGGGGGGCACCCAGGCAGGGGGATTGGGATCTTCCTCTAGTCTATGGGCAGGCTTCTGGAATCTGGTGCCTCTAGTGTGACACCTTGCACAGCCTTGGTGCAGTGGAAAGGGGCTTAGACCTGTCTAGGCTCAGTGTGCTTGGCTCTGCTGATTCCCCGTGGGAGATCTCGATTTGGGGGATATTGGGATGTGGGGTGGCTTGGGAAAGAGGGCTGGGGGATGGGTGGAGGGAGGAGGGGGATCTGTGCATAATATGTGGAGTGAGTAGAAAATTTCTTAATAAAGAAAAATGAAAAAAATAAACAATATTACAACTAAAAAAAGAAAATAGATTATTTTTTCATGCAATATATCCTGATTACAGTTCATTCCCACAATGCTTTACCTCTAGATCTACTCCCTTTCTGTCTCTCATTAGAAAAGAACAGGTTACTAAGAGATAACAATGAAACGAAACAAAATAAAATATAATTTTAAAAAATGGCTGGACAAGGCAATCAACACAAGAAAAAGAACCCCAAGAGCAGGGACGAGAGTCAGAGAGCCACTGTTCATACACTCAGAAGTTCCCTAAAAATATTAGCTGAAAGCTGTAGTGTATATGCAGAGAACCTGGTACAGACCTGTGTCAGCCCTCTGCTTGCTGCTTTAGTTTCTGTGAGTTCATATGAGCTTTCTTCCTTGATTTAAAGGGTCTTGTTCCTGGTGTCCTCCATACCCTCTGGCTCTCACTTTTTTCTGCCTACTCATCTGTAGGGTTCCCTAAGCTCTGAGGGGAACGATTTAATGGAGATATCCCATGTAATGCTGCTTGTCCCAAGGACTCTCTTTGTGTAATGTCTGGCTATGGGTTTCTATATCTGTTCCCATCTGCTGCAGGAAGAAACTTGTCTAATGATGACTTAATGAGGCATTGATCTATGAGTCGAATATCACTAGGAATTGTTTTATTGATACTTTATGTTGTAGACCAGCAGTGTGGTTTTTTATTTGTTTTTTCATTTTTGTTTGTTTTTTTTTTTTGTTTTACCTCAAGTCTCTGGGCAATCAAACTTCTGGTTCTTGGTCAATCAAGCAGTGCAGGTCATAGGTTCTATCTCAAGAAGTGGGTCTTCTATCAAATTAGACACTGGCTGGCTACTCTTGCAATTTCTGTACCACCATTGGCCTAGCAGATCTTGCAGGCAGGACAACTTGTATATCATATGATTCTCTTTTGGTAGCCTGCAGAGTACCTTCCCACACAAATGATACTGGAGTGTAGGGGCAGGCTCTATGTAGTCATCAGTTCCACTTCCCAACAAGTTGTGTGGGTATTGACCTCAGCAACTCCCAACCCTTTACCTTGAGGTAATTAGACATAAGATTTTATACTAGTTTGTTCCATAGATAATAAAAGGTATTTATATTTAACAACTTTTCATCACTATATCTTTTCTGGGTTTTGATTATTTTCATAACCAACTATCTTTTCATACTTTTAAATGAATCACTTGCAGTGATAATTTAATCACATAATTAAAGTAATAATTACCTAACTATTATGACAGATAGACTCTAGGACAATCAAATTGCCCCAATTTTGAGTTCCTCTGTCATTAAATAATCCTGTCCCTGGAGTGTATGCTGTCTCTCAACTGAAAAAGTTTAACAAAGATGGTGACATAGCACTTTATGATCATACTGGATTAGATCATAGGTTCTGAAATCATGACAGAAGGTGGGGAAAGGAAACCAAAATTAAACTTTTAACAGTGTGATGAGGCCGGCCATAGACATCACACCCTAGTCCTTTGGGAAAGTTGAATAGGAAATTTGCATTTAGAGAAAGATTTATTTTAAAAAAAGAAAATAATTTACCACGAAAAAAAGTTAAGAAATATTTACATGAAATAAAATAAAATAATGTTGCTATTCCTAAACATTCTTTTATATTAGCTGCCACTAGTGACTGTATTTGCATTTTTTTTCCTATCTAAAAACACAGTTCACACCGGGCGGTGGTGGCACGTGCTTTTAATACCAGCACTCAGGAGGCAGAGCTAGGCGGATCTCTGCAAGTTCAAGGCCAGCCTAGTCTACAGAGTGAGATCCAGGACAGGTACCAAAACTACAAAGAGAAACCCTGTCTCGAAAAACCAAAGGGGGAAAAAAAACACACAATTCACAATAAATAGTGCAACATAGTCAAACTCAAAATGTTATCTTATTGTAAATTAGTTATTATTTATAAGTAAGTGATAAAGCCAGAGACTCTCCAAATACTGTGTTTCTCATTACAAGATGTGCTTATTAAACAAAAGAACAGAATCACTTGAAAATATTTCCATGTGGTTTTGAAGATTAATTAATGACAAGTGGATGCCCACTGTAGACTAGAATTTGCTTCTATCTGTGATTGAAATCCAGGACACACTGGTCTAATTAACAATTCATCAGAAGCCCAGCATCTATGGATGTATTGTACAACCACACAGAAACAGATAAAGAGCCAGTAGCCAGAGAGCCTTCCCAATGAATTTCAAGGTGCTTTCCGTTTTTTTTATAAATGTTCTAGAATATGTAGAAGGATTTTGTTTGCTACATTTCCTGCTCATTGAGAAAATCTATGAGAAAATGAAGGATTACATTTCCTTATCACTTTAATAATTCTACTCCCTTCGATATAACAAAAATTTGTTGAGCATGAGTTATCTTATCCCTTTATACTGTTATATCAAATTTTTATGTATATCTTGTAATGTTTAACTTTTTCATGAATGTATTCTGTGACTTCTCAGCTAGATGATTCTTTTAATGACAGCTATTACAAAATATTTTTGAATGTTAGATACTTCTAGGATATAAAGGTATAGGGTTTAACACAATATAGCATATGTATTCACATATGCATAAATACATATATTCATAGTGCTTACTGTCTATAAACATAAAATGATGCAATAGATAGTCTGAATATGTATAAAACTGAAAGCATGGCTTAATGGAAAGTGTCACCATTAATCCTGCAAAACAACACTGATGCATTTAAATGTCTTATTCTAGGTAATAAAAATAAATAATATAGAAAAATATCAGAAGGCAGCCACTTTCTTTACCCACTTTCTCGGATTTATTTTCTATAGTTTGAATAATGATGATCAAAATACTGAACATTGCATTGTAGCATAGAGATGTTACAAAGTCAGCTCACAAAGTCTTAAGAGGTAAAATTAAAGGCAGCATAAATCAACAAATGGTCTACAATTTGTATCATTCTTGACTGAAATATTTTGAAAGTAGAATTTGCTTAATTAAAATAGATGCAGGTAGGAAAGACTGCTTCTTTCCTTCCAAATCATGAAGCCAAATGGCATCTCAATCCAGCCTTTTTTAACATCAAAGGTAAAGCCACTCTTCCCAGACTCATGCAATTACAGAATGCTTAGTAAAACTATCTGTGTTAACATTTGGGAAGTGTATGATGTAATCACTTTTGGACCCAAAGAGAGAAATATAGGCAATATTTCAAAATTGTCTTTTTAAATAAAGTAGACATTATGGAGTCAGTTAGTAGCCTGATGTAAGGGAAACTTCCGCGAAGTCTACAAAGATGGCCCCAGCCAAGACTCCTGGCAGTAGTGGCATAGCCTGAACTGACCATCCCCTGTGATCTGATTGGTGACTACCCGGGTTGTCATTCCAAGATTCTTCATCCAATAACTGATGCAGACAAATTCAGAGACCCATGGCCAAACATTGGGCCACACTCGGGGAGTCCTGCTGAGGAGAGGAAGGAGGATGTATAAGAAACGGGGTGGGGTGGCCGGGAGTCAGGAACATCGTAGGAGCAAACACAGAAACCACTAGCCTGGCTCATGGGAACTCACAGAGTTCAAACCAACAACCAGGGAGCCTGGATGGGACCAACCTATGCAGTCTGCCTATGTGTGGTACTGTGTAGTTTGGTCTACACGTGGGACTCCCGGGATTGAGCATCGGTTGTTGCGGGGGCTTTGTCTGGCTCTTGGGAACCTATTCTTCATGCTGGATTGCCTTACCCAGACTGGATATGGGGGGAGGTACTTGACATGCCATGCTTCGATGAAGCACATGGG